GATGTGAGCCATGACCAGCCTTTCAAAGCACTTCATGGATACAGACGTGAGTGCTACGGGTCGGTTGTCCTTTAGGCTTGTGTCACTGTGCAGCTCGCGGCTGTGCTTCCCTTTGTAGTCTGTAATAGTTTTCAAGCCCTGCCACATCCGACGAGCGTCAGAGCCAGGGTAGTACGATTCAATCTTAGTCCTGTATTGACTCTTTGCCTGTTTGATGGTTCGTCGGAGGGCATAGCGGGATTTCTTATAAGCGTCCAGGTTAGAGTCCCGCTCCTTGAAAGCGGCAGCTCTACCCTTTAACTCAGTATGGATGTTGCCTGTAATCCATGGCTTCTGGTTGGGGTATGTACGTACAGTCACTGTGGGGACGACGTCATCGATGCACTTATTGATGAAGCCAGTGACTGATGTGGTGTACTCCTCAATGCCATCGGAAGAATCACGGAACATATTCCAGTCTGTGCTAGCAAAACAGTCCTGTAGTGATTCTGTCTCTTCACAGCTAAATCTACTGTCACTTGAGTGTTTGCATTTAGGGAGAGATCAAAATGTACACAATAGTTACCCAGAGGAAAATGGGGGAGGGTCATGCTTTTTAAATTTCAGTCAGGGGGAGGGTTTAGTATTTTTTAAATTTAGTCCAGGATAGGTTCATGTCATTTGTAATCGATGTAATGTCATATTGCACAGGGTTTGAGAATTAGTTGCTTATTATAGTATTTCATTTGTGCCCGATGATGCCCCTCATCCCTGATTCTCTGCTGGGCGTGCAATATCAAGTGTGCCTATCTCAATAACATTATCCATAGCCTATACTTAAGCAATAAGGCCTGAGGGGGTGTGGTATATGGCCAATATACCACGGCTAAGAGCTGTTCTTATGTACGATGCAACGCGGAGAGCCTGGATACAGCCCTTAGTTGTGGTATGTTGGCCATATACCACAAACCCCCAAGGTGTCTTATTGCTATTATAAACTGGTTACCAACGTAATTAGAGCAGTAAAAATAAATGTTTTGTCATGCCAGTGGTATACAGTCTGATATACCATGGCTGTCAACCAATCAGCATTCAGGGCTTGAACCACCCAGTTTATAATATTGGCTATAGGCCTAGGCTATAAAGGTAATGAAAGTAGTCTAATTTGAAAAGGCCTAATTCATTTAAACAGTCTTCATTTTAATTTGACTTTAGGCTACTAACAACAAGAGGTCTTTGTGTTGGAACCTATTTCTTCCTATTCAAGAAATAAGCAGTAGGCCTACCTGTTTGACAGACTAAATTATAGTCTACTATCAAATAGATTTTGTCAGCCAATTCCTTCAGTCACCATTATGGTTGAATATTTTCCCAGTATTTTACAAATGTTCCATCCCGAGAATAAATCACTTTTCTCCAGTGTTATTCAAAAGCATATAAATATGTCTGGATTTGATTAGAGCTGATGAGCCATACATTAAAGACATTTTGTGAGCCCTACATTAAAATACATTTTATGAGTCCAAGCCCCAAAAAGCCCAAATGATTGTGCCGTTATCCAATACATAGCCTATGATATACAGTGAGGGAAAAAAGTATTTGATCCCCTGCTGATTTTGTACGTTTGCCCACTGACAAAGACATGATCAGTCTATAATTGTAATGGTAGGTTTATTTGAACAGTGAGAGACAGAATAACAACAAAAAAATCCAGAAAAACGCATGTCAAAAATGTTATAAATTGATTTGCATTTGAATGAGGGAAATAAGTATTTGACCCTTCTGCAAAACATGACTTAGTACTTGGTGGCAAAACCCTTTTTGGCAATCACAGAGGTCAGACGTTTCTTGTAGTTGGCCACCAGGTTTGCACACATCTCAGGAGGGATTTTGTCCCACTCCTCTTTGCAGATCTTCTCCAAGTCATTAAGGTTTCGAGGCTGACGTTTGGCAACTCGAGCCTTCAGCTCCCTCCACAGATTTTCTATGGGATTAAGGTCTGGAGACTGGCTAGGCCACTCCAGGACCTTAATGTGCATCTTCTTGAGCCACTCCTATGTTGCCTTTGCCGTGTGTTTTGGGTCATTGTCATGCTGGAATACCCATCCACGACCCATTTTCAATGCCCTGGCTGAGGGAAGGAGGTTCTCACCCAAGATTTGACGGTACATGGCCCTGTCCATCGTCCCTTTGATGCGGTGAAGTTGTCCTGTCCCCTTAGCAGAAAAACACCCCCAAAGCATAATGTTCCCACCTCCATGTTTGACGGTGGGGATGGTGTTCTTGGGGTCATAGGCAGCATTCCTCCTCTCCAAACACGGCGAGTTGAGTTGATGCCAAAGAGCTCCATTTTGGTCTCATCTGACCACAACACTTTCAACCAGTTCTCCTCTGAATCATTCAGATGTTCATTGGCAAACTTCAGATGGCCCTGTATATGTGCTTTCTTGAGCAGGGGGACCTTGCGGGCGCTGCAGGATTTCAGTCCTTCACGGCGTAGTGTGTTACCAATTGTTATCTTGGTGACTATGGTCCCAGCTGCCTTGAAATCATTGACAAGATCCTCCCGTGTAGTTCTGGGCTGATTCCTCACCGTTCTCATGATTATTGCAACTCCACGAGGTGAGATCTTGCATGGAGCCCCAGGCCGAGGGAGATTGACAGTGCTTTTGTGTTTCTTCCATTTGCGAATAATCGCACCAACTGTTTGGAATCTGATTGATTGATTGCTTCTGTGGACAGGTGTCTTTTATACAGGTAACAAACTGAGATTAGGAGCACTCCCTTTAAGAGTGTGCTCCTAATCTCAGCTCGTTACCTGTATAAAAGACACCTGGGAGCCAGAAATCTTTCTGATTGAGAGGGGGTCAAATACTTATTTCCTTCATTAAAATGCAAATCAATTTATAACATTTTTGCATGCGTTTTTCTGGATTTTTTTGTTGTTATTCTGTGTCTCACTTTTCAAATAAACCTACCATAAAAATTATAGACTGATAATTTCTTTGTCAGTGGGCAAACGTACAAAATCAGCTGGGGATCAAATACTTTTTTCCCTCACTGTATGTGTTGCAACTTGATATATAGTCTACCGCACATACGCATGACAGAAAAACATAAAAGCCCATAGATGTAGCTATGCTCTCTTGGGTAAATAAATGAAACATGCTCCAGTAGGCTAATATTTTTGAGTGTGGACAGTATTACTGTACTGTATTATATGGACTGGAATTACGCACATCATTCAAACCATGGGAGAGAACATGCAATGCAGGTGCAGGACATGTGGCCTACAAAGTTAAAATTATAGGCTAGCGAATTTGATTTTAATTTTGAAATATAATAGGGCCCATTTTACATTTGTATATTTAGTAGGTGACGCATATACAGTATATACCTTTCATAATATTTCCCCTAATGTTATTAGCCTACCTCATATTTTTCTTAATTCCTTCCTGCTTTCAACATTTAAAGGAAATACATGTTGTCCTGATCTTCATCATTGCAATGGCATGCTTGAATAATATAGGACTAGAATAAAATGCAGACGCTTTCACTTCTCTTCAGGAAGATTGAATGGTTATGGATCTGAATAAATAACTGCTGTAGCCTACCGCCATTGCGCGTTCACTTTTCTTTCAAACTACACGTGAGTTCTATTGGCTGCTGTATTTAACATTCAGCAAACAAGAGCTTGCATCCCTCTTCGAATAGTCAATTAGAATAAGAATTGGATAAAAAATAATAATAATTAATACTGCATTGAATTTATTACCTAAAAGCAGTAGTGTAAAGTACTTAAGTAAAAGTACTTTCAAGTACTACTTAAGTGTTTTTTGGGGGGTATCTTAACTTAACTTTTTACTTTTACTTCAATACATTCCTAAAGAAAAGAATGTACTTTTTATGCCATACATTTTCCATGACACCCAAAAGTACTCGTTACATTTTGAATGCTTAGCAGGACAGGAAAATGGTCCGATTCACTCACTTATCAAGAGAACATCCCTGGTCATCCCTACTGCCTCTAAACTGGCGGACACACTAAACACAAATGCTTCGTTTGTAAATGATGTCTGCATGTTGTGGTGTGCCCCTGGCTATCTGGGAATTTAACAAAATAAATTTGTGCCATCTGGTTTGCTTAATATAAACAATTTGAAATGATTCATACTTTTACTTTTGATACTTAAGTATATTTTTGCAATTCAATTTACTTTTGATACGTAAGTATTGTTACATTCCCCATCAAGAAAACAAAAAAAGTCACTCAAACGGAAGGGGGATCTAACAAAGAGTCACTAACAACCAAAACAAAACAGGTGGGGTTTTAGGAGGGGTTCTGAAAGACACTCATGGGGGTGTCCACTGAAAGTTGACTAGCAACAACAACTGGGACCTAAAAGACACCCACCATGAGCATCCACTAAATGTGCCCACTAAGAGACAAATAAAAGAAAAACCCACACCAAACTTAAAGACAGGAAGCAAACCAAAAAGTTGAACAAAACAAAAACAGGAAAGATCAGACAAAGGAATGTTTTTCTAGAACTCTACTAGGGAGCGCCAACTAAAGGTGTTGACCCTCCACATCTCTTAAGACAACTGGAGCACTCGGCCAGCCACTCTTAAATATCACCTGGGCCAGCACAGGTGTAACACATATTGACTAACGAGGTGACACAAATCGGTGCGCCCTACATACTAACATGCTATATGTGCTAAAAGTCCAACCTCATGCACAGGCAGAAAATGGTGAAAGTACTGTACTTCCACCATTTTCTGCCTGTGCAGACAACATTATAGTAGCTCCTGAGCTGGTCAAGATGGTCAACCCTGCCCATTTTCTTGTTGTAATCTATTACAAACTCTGCGACAAATACAAGTTTGTTTTGCCTGAACTTGGACACTGGTTTGAGGATGTCCTTCCTTGAGCTGTTCGTGGACAGAAAATACACATCTCTTTTGTCCCTCCAGCGAAACACGCCATTACATTATCTACAGACCATTTCACACTGACCTCTCTGGAGCTTGCCATCCATAATGGCCTTGGGGAAGTACTTACGATTGGGCCTTACTGTGCCACAATAATAGGTGTTGGCATCAAGCAAGTCTCTCACCAGAGGAATGGAATAAAAAAAGTTGTCTGCATAAAGATGGTGTTGTGACAATAGTTAGCCTCTCATGAGCTCCATTAGGCTAAGCCGAGCTCAGTTGCTTCAAGACTCCAAAACCCCTGCCACTGTCACTTAAGGCCCAGGCTGTGTGGTAAAAGGGTGAATGGTGGGACTTGGGGCAGACGCACTCCATGGAAACGTAGGCTCCCCTTTCGGGTGTGCTCTCCCTCTTCCCCTCCCTCCTCCTCTCTCTGCTTCCCCCTCTCCCTCCTCTCGCCTCTCCCTCCTCTTCACTCTCCTCTTCCTCTCTCCCTCCACTCGCCTCTCCCTCTTCTTCACTCTCCTCTTCCTCTCTCCCTCCACTCTCCTTTCCCTCCTCTTCACTCTCCTCTTCCTCTCTCCCCCACGCTCCACTCCTCCCTCCTCACTCCACATCTATATCTCTCCAATCATCTCTAACTCCTCTTCCTCCCTGCCTTCTGCTGCTGAGCCCTGACTCTCTACATCACTTCCCTCGCTTTCACTGACCTGGAGGAACAGAGTAACAGAGGGAGAGGGAGAGAGAGAGAGTGAGAGAGAGAGGAGCGGAGCAACAAATAGGATAAAGTTGTGGTCAGGAACATAATCTCTCTCTTCCTTCCTCTCACACGGTCTCTCTCTTCCTTCCTCTCTTTCTTTTTCTCATCCATACACACACTCTCTTCTTAATAATCACCTTTTAGGGGTTTCCATAATAAATTGAGTGATACAGTTACACGCCTCCCATTCCACACACACACCCACACCCACACGGGTAAACTTTCAAACAATCAAAATTATTTTATGAAGCCCTTAGTGGCCAGATTTTTTTTCAGTTCATGGTGTGCATATGTATGTTAGACTGATGGATAATCAGACAGGATAGAGTACACAAAAATACTTTCATGAATATGTTCATAGATGGACCTCGGTAAAATGTGTTTTATATTGGATATTCGGTTTTCTCTCATCAATAGATATTGAGCCAAGCATGCCATGACTATGAAGATGGTATATTCTGAATCAGGGGTGGATGGAGAAAAATCCACATTTTGTTAAATAGATTTTTTATAAACGATTTTGGATTTCAATCTTCGATAGCTCTTACACAAAGCGTGCCATGACTATGAAAATGATATATTCTGAATCGGCACAGAAAATGTACAGCACCTAAAGGATCTTTCTACACTTCTCCCGTCCACTCTGGATACACATCTCCCACTCTTTGCCCTGCGTCCACTCTGGATACACATCTCATACCTTCTCTTGCGCCCTTCAAACATCACCAGGGAGTGCTTTCAATTTATGAGTTACAACTGTGATGGCTTCCTGCCACTGTAGCCATCACAAAGAGAATGCACAAGCTGCATTTTGAATGTCTTCAGGGACCATCGTCTGCGGTTTCTGGGAAGGCCGGGGCCTTTGCAGGGTCCCCCACACAATGTACGCATTTATGATGGAAATGTTGAGCATCCCAAAAAGCACTTACTTCCACCATTTTCTCCCTGTGCGTCCAACATTATAGTAGCTCCTGAACTGGTCAAGATGGTCAACCCTGCCCATTTTCTTGTTGTAATCCATTACAAGCTCTGCAACAGATATAATTTCGTTCTGCCTGAACTTAGACACTGGTTTGAGGATGTCCTTCCTGAGCTGTTCGTGGACAGAAAATACACATTTATTTTGTCCCTCCAGCGACACGCCATTACATTATCTACAGACCATTTCACACTGACCTCTCTGGAGCTTGCCATCCATAATGGCCTTGGGGAAGTTCTTACGATTGGGCCTTACTGTGCCACAATAATAGGTGTCGGTATCAAGCAAGTCTCTCACCAAAGGAATGGAATAAAAAAAGTTGTCTGCATAAAGATGGTGGTGTGACAATAGTTAGCCTCTCATGAGCTTCATTACTAGCTCTGTTGCTTCGTCCCCCAGCCCCTCCCGACCTGTGTACACATTGAAAGCAAGGCAGTAACCAGTCAATGAGTCACACAGACACCATATTTTAATTCCCCACTTCACTGGTTTCTTCAGCATGTACTGTTTCCATAAAAGTCTACTGTCAAATTTGATCATTGCCTCATCCACAGAGAGGGCTTGCCAGGGATTAAATAGTTTGGGTAAGTTGTGTTGCAAAATGTGGATGAAAGGCGTAACTTTGTACAATTTGTCTGTCTCATTTGTTGAATTTGGATCCAAAAAGTGTATGTACTTACATAGCTGCTCAAAGCGTTTGCGTGCCATTTTGCTAGCTATGTATGTGTACACTGAGGGCGACGTCAGTGGACCAGTAGTCGATGAGAGCGGGTAGGCGGTGGATGCCCATGAGAATATTGATGCCTATGAAGCTTTTCAATTATATATTCAGACTTAGGGGAGGATGCCCAAAAATCCAAAGTTTTATTTTATTGTATGTATTCTTTGCTTTCAATCTTCAATAGCTGTTACACAAAGTGTGCCATGAGTATGAAAATGATATATTCTGAATCAGGTGAGGATGGACAAAAAGCCATTGCTTATTTGTTGTTGAAATTCCTTCTTTTTTATATATGTTTCTTTGCTTTCAATCTTCAATAGCTGTTACACAAAGCTTGCCATGACTATGAACATGATATATTCTGAATCGGGGGAGGATGGACAAAAATCCACAGCTTGTTTTTTTAATGGATTTTTTTTTAGCTTTCAGTCTTCAATTGCTCTTTCTGTTAAGGAGCAGGTTGTTGGGGTGGGAGGAGGAGGGTGATTAATGACCTGACGAAGGTCCAACTCAGTTCAAGCTACCCAGGAAAGGGCTGAAAATAGCCCATATTATGACATTTATAGCAATGTGTGTTTTTGGTCATGAGGTTAGGTGAAACACGAACAAAGTAGAATAAATATGTGTGTATCACAGTTTAGTGTGAACCCTTTCTACTCCACCCAACACAGGATTTAATGTTCTCCAGCACACAACCCCAACACAGAAGACCAGGACAGGTAAGTATGCTCAAGGTAAGTTTTATTTTAAATTCATGGGTTAACATCGATCAGACCCCGTTTCCCCACCTCCCACAGCAGACTGCACGATTTCCTGGACTGTGTCGACACAATAGAGCCTACCTTCAGGTAGGTTACCGTCCCCCTGACTCCCTCAGGTAAATATCGGGCATGCAAAAGTGACACACTGCACACTGAATTATTCTAATATGGCACTGCAACAATATGGTGAACGGCACTCCAAATCTCACTCCACTGCACACTGTGAATTATTCTGATATGGCACTACAACAAGACAGTTATTGTAAGGGAAGGCACTGCAAACAATATGGTGAAAGGCACTACAATCTACAAACATATAGAAAGGGTGGGGATAGGTTCATTTTCGAATCTGAGAGTAAATAGAGATGAATATATTGATAAAAGTCACCTTGTCCAAGAGAGATTTACATGGTTATCAAAATGCCACGCTAGGGTAAGCCTACACGAAATACAGGCCTTATTTTAAGTTTCTAAAATTCCTTATGGGAAAAATGAATGGTGGGAAAACGATTGGAACCATTTCCCTGTCTGACCGCTAGGTTTTATGGGTGTTGTGACTGTTGTACTCAATATACCTTATTTTTACAGTCTATGGTGTACACACACTGCTTCCTACAGGGGGCGGGTGACTAAACTCAACCCGGAACTTTGAATGGTCAATTATTTTTTGAAACATGGGAAGAAACTTCTCCACCTAGGCAGATAGGTTCTCCAAGATTGTTGAAAATATAATTCTCTATCGGATTATTGTCGTCCTTTCTAGGGAGAGATTTCAAATGCTTCCAGTCCCGATCTCGGAGATTTCGCGAGGACAGTAACTTTTCTTTTCAAACAGGTAGGAGCCAAATAAAAGTGCAACTCGACTAGATATTTTCTTTCGATTGTTCGCTAAACTTTACGAACGAGAATGAACAAATCTGTTTCGTAAACCTGATACGAATGGCCCCCGGGTCCCCAGTTCAGCATTACCTGTCTCTTTTTACCTGTTTCGTCCTTTTTTGTGTCTACGGCTGGCTAGTAGGATAAACGGGCTGAGGAGGGTTGACATCATCAATAGTCACCCTAACTTTTATATGTGAGTGAAACACGAACTCGAATCAACCTACAAAATGAATAGTTTAATTAATTAGTGGGTATTTTTGAAGTCGTTTTCAGTGTATGCTAGCATGTGCTGTGAAATGGCTTACTGCAGAGAAAGGAGTTTCCATTCCATCTTTATAAAGTGTCAGGTAACAAGCAATCGTCAATGATTCGACATACATTTTAAATGAATCACGACAGAAAAGGGCTGGCTCTCGAGCCATGGATCAATTTCACTAGTGTGTCGACAACTGCCATTGACACAGTTGTTCTGCCCAGTACCCAGAATGTAAAGGCTCGGGCACTAATAGCCCCACTTAAGTGGTGGTGCCGATGACAACAGACTTCAAAGTGTGTGTTTGTGGTGGCAGTTGTAGGTGGTCGGTCAGGATTGGAATTCCAGGGAGCTGAAGGCCCCCTCCTCCCCACCCCTTAAGGGGACAGGCGGTGGGATGGTTATTACAGCGTCAAGGGGCATGACACAGAGTTAGTTCTGCAGGCTAACAGAAGGGATACAGGAGGATACACATTTGTGCATAGCCCTATATGGTCATGGGCACTATTACTATATGGTTCACTATAATCAAATCAAGCTTTATTTATATAGCACATTTCAGACATGGAATGCAACGCAATGTGCTTCACAGGAAAAAACAAATACAAAATCATGAAATGTGAAATATTTACTACACAACAAACATAAGAGGAGTGAACAGCAGTAATACCATTAATGTACAGGATTTACAAATGCAGAGACACTGATTCACACGTTACCTCTACACTTATACAACACATTCTATTTTTCTCTCTCGCACCTCTCCCACTTGCAGTAGTAGCAGAGGGAGGGTGCAGCCCAATGCATGTTGGGACAGGCAGGGGAGAGAGCCTAGGAAACCCAAACACTGCTCTCCCTGCCAGCCTGTCATGTAGCCTACATTTTAGTCATTTAGCAGACACTCATATCCAGTGCGACTTACAGTTAGTGCATTCATCTTAAGATAGCTAGGTGGGACAACCAAATATCTCAGTCATAATAAGTAAAACGTTCCTCAATAAAGTAGCTATCAGCAAAGTCAGAGCTAGTAAGAGGGAAAAAAAGTCAAGTGCGAGTGTTAGTTTACGAAAGGCTTCTTTTTTTCTTCTTTTTTTGCCTCGTATGAATACTAGGCTAGTATAGTAATGTTTTGGGTCGGAGGAGCATTGTCTTTCACAAGGCTTCAAGAGTATTAGTATATGAAGTGAGTGAGAACATTTTCAGGTTAGAGTTTCCATCAAAGCCAAAACACTGGTGGTGATCATGGTCATTCATAATCTGCTCTGCTTTCGATGCGTCTTAACAAATTACCAACGCTGAAGAGCTAATGACATTCCTGTAATTACAGTGTTATGTGATCAGCTAGCAAAGTAGGCTACAAGTTAACATCTATGGACCTACCTGGGATGGCATAGGGCTACTGAAATGGAAGGGGTCTAGAAAACTAGGTGCAGTTTGTCAGGTGAAAGAGAAAGTGTCTATGCTTTGACAGAAATGGCACTTAAACACCAGCAATAAAACATAACATATTTTTTGTAGGTTAGTTCCATTGACCTGTGAATGCGAGACACACACATAGTTATTTCCCTTTTCATCAAGTGAAGCATGTGCAGAATTGTTTAACAAACTTTAGTGTTTCCATATGTGCTGGAGAGAGCATGAAAAGAGCTTGACTGTCCTCTCCTCTGGGACTCCCATCTGTGAGCTGAGGAGGAAATGGATGTCTATGTGTGCCATGGGGGTTGTGTATGCATGTCTGTCTGTGTCTGGCCTTGTATTCAATTGTGTGTAGTCCTATACACAGAATGGGCTATGTTTCTGTACACACTGAAGCAAATGTAGACCTAGTACCTTAAAAGAGGAAGATAGAAGTTCAGCAAATTCATTTGGAAAATGAAAGCTCCAATGACTCGAGGGCAAGGCCGTTCTGGTCAGGCCAGAAACATACAGAAAAACCCTAATTTACTGTGTGAATTATTTGATAGTAATATTGACCTTATCTCAGAGTCTTAGGAGGACGCCCATACACACACTTCAAGATGCCCCAACAGGATATCGTGAAGATTGCCATCCAGATGCCAGGGGCATACCCTCAGCTCATTCAACTGGACCAGGTAAGCATCAGCACACAGGAGTGGAGCCTGAGTCAGAGAGTTTAGAAAACCTACTGTACTATCAATGCCTAAGTGGAAAGTTACAATAGGAATCAGCACTGCAGCCTGTGGGTTGTATTAGAGCTGTGGTATATGAAGCAATACTGAGCAGAGATGGGCGGGCTAATAATGTTTTTTATGAAGGGGTGATGCAGTGTGTTCAGAGTTGTGAAGCAGCTGCTGCTATAGAAAAACACCACGCTGTCAATAGAGAAGTTATTATAGGATTATAGTAAAGTGATGTGCTGGGTGTTTAGGATGTCAAATTGTTAATAGACCAAGGCCTTAATTAAATAAAAGGTTTTGGTTAGATATGGGTGCCTGTCAAGTTTGAACAAGCTGATTCTGTAGACATTTCATGGGAGGAAAAAACTAACTGCAAGCCCCTCAGAAGCTCTCCTATTGGACTACCAGACCTTACCAAAAACCTCTGATTGGTTGACCCCCTACAGACCACAAATTACAGGGCAGTGATAGGTCTACCACAGTACACAAACACTTTTGATTGGTTGACCACCATGTATACCACAAATTACAGGGCAATTGAAATATAGACATTAAAGTAGTTGTCTCTTATTTATTCAATGTCCCTGTTGCCTCATAAGTCAACAGCATAGAGGAAGTAAAGCTTTGTGTTTATCTAGGATCAACAGGCTCAGGGTCATAGGACCAGTGTACTATAGTTAATCCACCATGGTTTACAAAATGAAAGCATGATATCTAAATCAGTTCTTACCTTCTGCTGCTCATTGACCACAACTATGTTTATCTCCTGACAGAAAAAGCCCCTTTCTGCTGTAATAAAGGAGGTTTGTGATGGGTAAGTGTGTGTGTGTGTATGTGTGACTGAGTGTGTGTGTGTGTGTGTTCATGTTATCCTTGTTGAGTTCAAGCAATTACTTTGTCCTCTTTCAGTAGTTACAGTGGCTATGATGACTGGGTTTTTAGGTGGAATCTTCCAGGCCCTGATAACTACGCCCTCCAGTATACCGACGGTGTTCAGACCTACATCACTGAATCTGTGAGTTGATTCTCTTTCTTTTCAATGAACATGGAGGCTGTCTGTAAACAAACATAGGTCTTTCTGGCTGTCTAGTGTGTGGCTTCTATACTGTAAGTTGACAGTAGAGGGTGTCCTTGTCATGCCAGTGATGCCTGAAATGTCATCAACGCCAGTGGCCTTGGTCTGGGTAGCTGCTGGAGCTAAACTAAGCTTGTGACTTTTGAAGAGGTCAAACACAACCCTCTACTGCTGTGGCTGTGTTCATTGTTATTCCACTGGGTGTGTGATATGCATGGGGTAACAGGAGGGCTGGTTGGCACTGTTACTGGTGTGTGTCTGTGTCTGAACAGAGATTCCTGCTATTTCCGGGGCCAGTGCAGGCGTGAAATGATAATCATCTGAAACTTAACCAACTTAATTTCTCGATCTCTGTCCTGCTCTCGCGCTCTCTCTCTCTCTCTCTCTCTTTATCTCTCTCTCTCTCTCCTCTCTCTCTCTCTCTCTCTCTCTCTCTCTCTCTCTTTATCTCTCTCTCTCTCTCTCTCTCTCTCTCTCTCTCTCTCTCTCCCCCCCCCCTTTTCTTTCTCTCCCCACTCTCCCTCCCCCCTCTCTAATTATACTGAACAAAAATATAAACCCAATATATAGCAGACCTACTGTATATAGTTATAGCATACCTAGTGTACAGTGGGGGAAAAAAGTATTTAGTCAGCCACCAATTGTGCAAGTTCTCCCACTTAAAAATATGAGAGAGGCCTGTAATTTTCATCATAGGTACACGTCAACTATGACAGACAAATTGAGAAAAGAAAATCCAGAAAATCACATTGTAGGATTTTTAATGAATTTATTTGCAAATTATGGTGGAAAATAAGTATTTGGTCAATAACAAAAGTTTCTCAATACTTTGTTATATACCCTTTGTTGGCAATGACACAGTTCAAACGTTTTCTGTAAGTCTTCACAAGGTTTTCACACACTGTTGCTGGTATTTTGGCCCATTCCTCCATGCAGATCTCCTCTAGAGCAGTGATGTTTTGGGGCTGTTGCTGGGCAACACGGACTTTCAACTCCCTCCAAAGATTTTCTATGGGGTTGAGATCTGGAGACTGGCTAGGCCACTCCAGGACCTTGAAATGCCTCTTACGAAGCCACTCCTTCGTTGCCCGGGCGGTGTGTTTGGGATCATTGTCATGTTGAAAGACCCAGCCACGTTTCATCTTCAATGCCCTTGCTGATGGAAGGAGGTTTTCACTCAAAATCTCACGATACATGGCCCCATTCATTCTTTCCTTTACACGGATCAGTCGTCCTGGTCCCTTTGCAGAAAAACAGCCCCAAAGCATGATGTTTCCACCCCCATGCTTCACAGTAGGTATGGTGTTCTTTGGATGCAACTCAGCATTCTTTGTCCTCCAAACACGACGAGTTGAGTTTTTACCAAAAAGTTATATTTTGGTTTCATCTGACCATATGACATTCTCCCAATCCTCTTCTGGATCATTCAAATGCACTCTAGCAAACTTCAGACGGGCCTGGACATGTACTGGCTTAAGCAGGGGGACATGTCTGGCACTGCAGGATTTGAGTCCCTGGCGGCGTAGTGTGTTACTGATGGTAGGCTTTGTTACTTTGGTCCCAGCTCTCTGCAGGTCATTCACTAGGTCCCCCCGTGTGGTTCTGGGATTTTTGCTCACCGTTCTTGTGATCATTTTGACCCCACGGGGGTGAGATCTTGCGTGGAGCCCCAGATCGAGGGAGATTATCAGTGGTCTTGTATGTCTTCCATTTCCTAATAATTGCTCCCACAGTTGATTTCTTCAAACCAAGCTGCTTACCTATTGCAGATTCAGTCTTCCCAGCCTGGTGCAGGTCTACAACTTTGTTTCTGGTGTCCTTTGACAGCTCTTTGGTCTTGGCCAGAGTGGAGTTTGGAGTGTGACTGTTTGAGGTTGTGGACAGGTGTCTTTTATACTGATAACAAGTTCAAACAGGTGCCATTAATACAGGTAACGAGTGGAGGACAGAGGAGCCTCTTAAAGAAGAAGTTACAGGTCTGTGAGAGCCAGAAATCTTGCTTGTTTGTAGGTGACCAAATACTTATTTTCCACCATAATTTGCAAATAAATTCATTAAAAATCCTACAATGTGATTTTCTGGATTTTTTTATTCTCAATTTGTCTGTCATAGGTGACGTGTACCTATGATGAAAATTACAGGCCTCTCTCATCTTTTTAAGTGGGAGAACTTGCACAATTGGTGGCTGACTAAATACTTTTTCCCCCCACTGTATATAGTTATAAGGTATATGTGACCAACAAATGCATATCTGTTTTCCCAGTCATGTGAAATGTATAGATTAGGACCTAATGAATTTATTTCAATTGACTAATTTCCTTATATGAAATCTTTGAAATTGTTGCATGTTGCCTTTATATTTTTGTTCAGTATATGTGCATTAGTGCAGTGTGAAAACAGTAATCAGTCCAAGCCATTTCTAAGTCAGTCTGTATTGCCTGTATGACTATGTTTGTCATTGTGTCTGCTCTGTGGTCTTTATGTTCTAGAACCGTCTGGACATAAAGAATGGCTGCATTCTCCGTCTGACCAAGGCACCGGTGAGTCTGCAAACAAGAGCCTGACAAACCAACCATGCTCTGTTCCTTACATAATCCCCTGTTGGCTGTGTGTGTATGTGTGTCTGCACACTATGTAGGCCTATTACAATTGTATTAAATTTTCGGTATATCTACTTCATCCATCCTTTGTCTGTGTGTTTTTATGCTGTGTGTGTTGTAGGGCCGTTGTGCCGAGGACCTGTACAAGGGCATCCAGAGCTCAGACTCAGGTGTGCGCTGTGATTCGCTGAAGCAGCTGGCCTGCGTGTCCACTGATGTCACGTTTGCCCAGGAGTTTATCAGCCGTGATGGCCACTCTCTGCTGGTGAAGATCGTAGAGGACGTTGACGAGTCAGTTCCTTTCTCTGTATCTCTCTGTATGTCACTGTGTCTGTCTATATGTTACTGTGTCTTTGTGTGTGTCTCTGTCTCTCTCTACTCTCTCTTCAACTAACCTTATATAGCAGAGACAGCAGACTCACATAAGTGAGCGCTTCTCTTTCTGTCCTGTTCTGCTAGCAGACTGTGTGTGGGTATTTTGGGGGGATGGGGGAAGTGCAGTGCAGTCGTGCATATTTGTGCTGGCTGCAGTGGAATGCTGTGCTTTGATAGATGCTTCTGCAGAGATATGAGACGATTACCTCACATGTGGGAACACATCCCTGGGTGAAGTATGGGCTGAGTCTGGCCTTCCCCTCACACTGTTAGCATAGTTACTGTGGAGGAATTCAAGGAAGCTGTAGTTGGGTTCGTATGATGAATTCTAGAATAACATTGAGTTGGCATGGAGAATTGGCTAGGAAGAATATGCAGCTCTGTGTTGCATAGTTAGTCATGGGGTTAGTTTGATCATGATCAAAATCACTATGGGATGGAGAGATCCAAGGATATGAGTCTGATGTCATGCTTTTGAAGATGTAACATGTCTTATAGTCACAAATCAATTATACCACTTGAATCCCAGTGAAGGCATAAAACACATTCCTACCAAACATGAGAAAACATTTCAGCCTGGTATGGTCTAGTCTCTCCTAATCTCGCACCTAGAACCAAATCAGTGTAAATGCACAGTGAAGTCTGTGGTTTTCTATGTCAATATTGTATTTGCTGATGTTGTAATATTCTGTTCTGAGTTGTGTGTATTCTGTGTTTGTGTGTTAGGGCCCCTCTGATCATGACCCACACACTGACAGGCTTCATGGAGTTGATGGACCATGGGATTGTA